ATCCTGACCAATCGACATCCGAATAATTGAGTAGATCGATGTGAGTGCCTTTTGGATACCAAAGCCCTAAGGTTTTATTGTCACTAATATATCCAAATATTCTTTTTACGGTACTAAGGTGTGATTCTTTATGATTTGATTGAAATCTAGCATATAAGCATACACTAAACATAATATTGGGTCTATTTGTAGTTAAGTAAAGAAGTGATATGATCATACCTCGATATTTTATTACATTAATGAAAGTGCCTTGATCATCTTCGTCCAATTTTATGGATAAGCTCATTGAAGCTCATAGGAGTGTTCATTAGCTTCAAGTTTATATTTTGAATCTTTTGAGCATATCCGATATATATTTACGTTGACCGATAAATATCCTAGTATTAATTTGTCTAATTTGGAGTCTAGAAATAATTTTACTTTTCTCGTCGTACTCATACACTTGGAAAATTCTTCACAAAGGAAAATATTAATTGCACCAAAAATAATATCATCAACAGAAATTTGAATAATAATTATATCACTATCTTTGATTTTGATAAAGAGTGTAGTTTTCCTATAAAAAACCATTTGAAAGTAGAAATTTGTTTAATCTTTCATACCAAGCTCTAGGGGCTTATGTTAAACCATAGATTGCTTTTTAATCTTTAAAACATAAAATCCGGGGGTTGCTCTACAAGAACTTTTTCATGAATAAAACCATTTAGAAATATACTTTTAACATCCATTGGATAAAGAGTGAAACTTTTATGACAAGCAATGCAAGAAGCATGCGAATAGATTCTAATCTAGCAACCGGTGAAAAAAAATTCCTCATAATCGATGCCTCCTTCTTGATTGTAATCTTGGGCTACGAATATAGCCTTGTTAAGTACAATTACCCTATTTTCATCTCTTTTATTTCTAAAAATCCATTTTGTACCATGACGGTTTGATCATTTGGTCTAGTGACTAAATTTCAAACAAGATTTCTTTCAAATTGATTTAGTTCATCTTGCATGGCTAGTATCCAAAATTCATCAAACTCACCAAACTCTAATAGTAATACCTTTAAATGGATCCCCAACAAGTAATTCTTTCGGGTTGAGAGTAAAGGAGCCTCCATTCTTTGGGTAGAGATGGATCACTTGGTATTTAGGTAGTTTTTCTTCATTTTGTTGGACGTTTGTTTCTTCCTTTTATTCGTCTTTTGGATCCTTTTTGTTATGATCTTGAATAGTCAGTTGTTCGAGAGGAATTTCCAATCCTGCATCATTCCCAATACCTTTCTCACAATCAAGATAATCAATTTAATCGAAAGTGACATGCATGTATTCTTCAAAGACTAGAGGTTTTTTTTTATTTTTTATTTTTATTTTTTTTTTGGTTAAAGCTGTTAAAGATTCTATAAGCTTTGCTAGTCGATGACTATCTTAGAAAGATTCTAATATCAGATTTTGAATAAAAAATTTTCAAATTTTCTTTGTGTTCAAGATAAAGCATTTGCAACCAAAAACTTTGAAATAAGCGATGTTTGGAGTTCTATTTTTCCAAAGCTCATAGGGGGTTTTAGTTTTCTTCCAACTTACTAAACCTCTATTTACAATATAGCATGCTACTTTCATTAAGCATGGTCATAAACATTTCTTGCAATGTGTGATTCTTCTTTTCTACTACTCCATTTCGTTGAGGGGTTCTAGGATCCAAAAAATTATGTTCATATCCATTTTCATTGCAAAATTGTCAAAAGAAATGTTATCAAATTCTCTTCCATGATCACTCTTAATATTTGTAATGAAATATCCATTTTCATTTTTGGACATATTTGCAAAAGTTTTTGAATGCATTTAAACCTTTGTCTTTAACATTTAGAAATAGAACCCAAGTGAATTTAGTGAAGTCATCAACAATGACAAAAGTATAATGATTTTCACCCAATCTATAGCAGTTTTAGAGGGACCAAAAAGATCAATGTGGATTAGTGGAAGTGGTTTTATAGTTGAAGAATATAATTTAGGTTTGAATGAGCTTATCACTTATTTACCAAATTGACATGCATAACGAATTTTATCTTTTTCAAATTTAAATTGGCAATCCTTTGACGAAATGATCTTTGGAAATTTTTGAAAGAAGATCAATGTTAACATGACCTAATCTGAACCATGTATCCTCTTTTAAGCTAGATAAACATTTCTCATTATCTTCATTTTCAATATTTATGATATAAACTTCTTTACCTCAACTTTCAACAAACATGACCTCTTTTGACATAGCATCGTTAATAAGACATTTAGAAGAGCCAAATTTAATATGATACTCTTGATCATATAGTTGACTAATACTGGGAAAATTATGTTTAAGGTCATTTACCAAAAGTATATTTGCAATAGAAGGAGAAGGCTACTAATGTTTCCAACGCCTATAATTTTTCCTCTTGCATTGTCTCCAAATATGACAAGACCTCCATCATTCTTTTTAAAATTTGATAGTAACATTCTATTTCCAATAATGTGTTTAAAGCATCCAATATCTATGAACCATTTACTTTTTATCTTCTTTGGTACCTACAAAAAATAGTTTAGTTTTTTTATTTTTTTTTTACTCATATAAGTTTGGGTCCTTGATAGTTAGTTTTGGTGGATTCACAGATCTACTTGTTCTTTAGTTCAAAATGTAGCTTCTTTTTTGTTAGACAATTATAAGCAATATATACATCTTTATTGAAAAAGGTACTTGTAGTTTTTGAAAGAAGGGCATTTGAAGCTTTGACAAACAAAATTTTTGAAAGATTTTTGTTTCAAAAATGGTTTATGTCCAATTCCTCCTTTATCAAAAACACACTTTTAATCACCAAATATTAAATCAAAACTCTTTTTACATTGAGTGAATTTATGAATAATCTTAGCAAGTCTTCAACTTTTTCTTTCAAGGAAGAATTTCTTTAATCTATGGTTTATAATAAACTATTTTCGGGTATTTAAAATTTTCTTCATTTCATTTTTCAACAAGTGATATTCCTTTTTAAGAATTGAGTGATTTAGATTAAGCTTCTCAAATTCCTTAAGAATTTCAACGCAGGAGGTAGATAACTTATCACACGAACATTTTTCAATAGAACTTGCCTCTATATGTTAGCAATTTCTTCTTGACTATCATTTTCATTGCGATCATCAACGTCGCTCTCATCCCATGTGATTCGGAGTGCCTTTTCTTTATGTTCTTCTTTTTTGGGCACTCTGTTCCCTTGTGACTGAGTTTTTCATAATCATAGCAAATAATTTCCTTACTTCTTTCTTTTGGAACCTCAAATTATTTCAAAGACTTCTCCATTTCTTGACAAGAATGACTAGATCATTGAGCTCTTTATCACTCATATTTTCACTTAAAGTTCCTTTTCAATTCCCGATTTAAGAGCAATTTGATACTTAGAAGATTCCTTTGATTCTTCTTTGCTTTTCCTTGTTTTCTCATTAGTTTTAGCATTGTTGAGCTCGTATGTTATCAAAGTTCCATATAATTCTTCTAAAGGATATGAGTTGATATCTTTTGTATTTTCTATTAACATTTTTAATAAGCTCCATTAATTTGATAGTGACCTAAGTATTTTACTTACAAGCTCATCATTAGTAAATTTGCGATCAAACCTTTAAGGCCATTAATAATATCGGTAAAGCAAGTAATTATATCAACAATAGGTCATTTTGTTTCATAAAGAAGTTTTCAAATTCTTTAACCTAGAGATTAATTTATGTTTTCTTTACTTTACTAGTGCCAACATATTCCATCCCATTCCATTCCAGGATAGGCTAATAATAATAATCTAAGAAGTAGTCATCGTCTGACCAATCGGCTCGGACACCAGACCGCCCGTGCCGGCCCATTTTGTCTCGCCCTAAATGGAATGGCTCTCTTAGTTATGCTGCACCCCGACCCGAGTCCCCACGTCCGCTTTTCTCCGCCTGAAACCCAAGAAGTTGGCTTTGCCAACACAACATTAGGGCCGTCCCCTTCATTCTATTATGCTGACCCCGGCCCGGGCTGGCTTTTTGGGAAGCCCGTTCCCACCGCGCTCACGGCCCGACTGGCCTGCCAGCGGTAGTGGGAATTCTCTCGTTCCCTGGTCAAAGACTTGGTTGGATGCGGGATCTACTCCACGAGGAGCGGTACGGACGTAGATGATATCATCACGACCTCTCTTTTCGTACCGCTAGGGATGCTTAACGCCACTTCGCCAACTGGCGTTACCTGTGCTTTCGTGTCTCTCAGTGTGGTCAGCACTGGGTGTTTCCGAGCAGCGAAGCTTACACCCATTCGCATTAGTTCATCCAAAGTTCCTTACCCTTATGCACGAATTATTGAATAAGCCATCTTCCTATCAAGGTTAAGGAGTCAACTGAGCATCTTAGCGGCGGGATTGAATACCCGGATCGAATCAGAGTTCACGCCGCCTGCCCTGAACAAATAGGAGGCGTGGGCCACAGGTCGCACATAAGCCACCGGGTCGCATGACAGAAGAACACCCAACATAAAGATGCACACTCCTCCATGTGAAATATTCATCTTCATTGGAGGTTTTTGGTAGTAGTTGTGACCAACAGCCATCAGCTGTCGGCTCGTTGGTAAGGTGAGAGCTTCAAGCCCGATTTCTGGTGGCGCATCCCCCACACAAGCACCGCCCGACGAAGGGAGGACGGGGAAAGCTACAGGCTGAAAAGCTTCGACCCTTCTTTCGGGGCACCTCATCTTGTCATTTTTTCGTTGCTCATTCCCGTTAGGCCGAAGTGTTTGGCCTTTCCTTCTCCGCGCCCGCTCACGCTTCGCTGACCTATCACGTGGTAAAAAGAAGAAAGTACGAAAGAATAGTAAACGGAGCACACCGCAGAAAGATTCTAAATATGATAAGTCCCCCTTGGATTCGAGAAGCAAGAAATGAAGAACGGGAACGAAACGAAATTGGGCGTTTCTTGCTCTAGTTTCGGATGAGCTTCTCCCAATTATGTCTGGTAATAGAATAGGACGGCTTGCTCTAACCAAGACTCCACTTTTTGCTCTGTCTGTGGAGCGTATGAATTTCCTGGAATGTAGATAGACCAAAAGAGGGAATGAAGGGATAGGAATAGGAATTATAGTACCATTGGAAAAAGGGGCACCTGTGGGAACATCTCTACTGACGAACCATTTCAATAGTACGGGTGCTGCCGTGCCACGAGGCACGACCATGGAAGTAATTAAAAAAAAAAAGTTATGTAGTTGGACCATCTGTTCTATCCGTTCGAGTTTTGCTTCTCTAGAGAAGATGAGAGGCTAAAAATGAAAGTGTTCACTACACATACCGAAAGGGTACTAATTAAGCCGACCATTAATGACTAGTTCGAACACCAGGAGTGGTCTAATCCCTCATTTGATCAGACCGCTTTTAGAAAGATAAAACAAAAGCAAACTCTCATAGTTCGGAGCCCATCCCCAACTGACTAAGACCCAGCCGAACTTCCTCCGCCGCCTTGCTCTTGGATTTGAAACCGTGCGCGCTCTCTCCTAATGATAGAGTCTAGCTTAGCCGGGAGTGAGCCCGTGGCAGTTTGGTCCAATTCTTGTTGGATGGCTTTAGTATAGCCCGGCTCAATGACTCTGAAAATATCCTGTTGTAAAAACATCAAAAACCCATTCAATTTGGATAATTTGTATAGGGTCAGTGGGTCCTGAATTTCTCCAGGGATGTGCACAACGCTGGAACAGTAGAAAGGGGAGGCCACGGCTTCCCACGTATGTTCCTCCGGAACAGGTATCCCCTCCAGAACAGGGCGCCCCTCCAGAACAAGGTTACTTTGTGAAAGGACACCCGAAGTCACTGGCGTGGAGCCCGAAGGAGCCATATATGTAATAAAGGGTGTGGCCTCCGCTGTGAGGAAGGCCTTGAAAACAAGTCCAATGGTTAAGGCAAGCCCCACGGAGCAGCTCAGCTTGATTAGAAGGAAAGAGAGGGCTCTAGTCCCCATAAGCACCACAACCCTTGAAAGTAGGGCCTGAAAAAGGTCAAGGGAGCCGAGTCTCATACAAATCCAATAAAAGACACTGAAAAATGTAATAATGATTAGGAGTTTTTGATAATAAGAAGCGGTTATGAGATTGATTAGTTTAGCTATTGCTTTAGCATTCGCTTCTGAAAGAATTTTCACTAATTGTGCCACAGTTGAGCGTTTCTGTCCAATCGCTACATAGACACAATACAATGTCTCACTCTCAGAGGTTGCCTTTGAGTTCAATTGCTTTTGGTTTAATATGGTATCGATAGCAATAGCTGTTTTTCCAGTTTGTCGGTCCCCGATTATAAGTTCTCGTTGACCACGACCTATAGGAACCAGGCTATCTACCGCTTTTAACCTTGTTTGCATAAGCTCGTGCACAGATTTACGTTCAATAATCCCAAGGGCTTTCACTTTGACACGTCTTCGTTCGTGAGCGCTTAGAGACCCTCTTCCATCAATAGGTACTCCCAACACGTCGACCACACGCCCTAGCATAGCCTTTCCCGCAGGAACATCCACAACAGATCCAGTGCGTTCGAAAAGATCTCCTTCTTTAATAGCAGTATCACTACCAAAGACAACAATCCCTACATTCTCATTCTCAAGATTTAAGGATATTCCTTTCACACCGCTGGCAAATTCAACCATTTCCCCAACTTGAATCTCGTTCAATCCATAAACACGTGCAAGACCATCTCCAACTGAGACCACTCGGCCGATCTCATCCATTTGAAAATTCGTGTAAAAGTTGCTAATTCTACTTTCTAATAGAGTTGTTAGTTTTACAGCTCTGGGAGAGAGTTCCATAATTCAATTAAAGATAGAGTCAAGGGAGAATGCCGCTACTGATAGATCCGATCAAGGGCGGTGGTTTCTTTTCGAAAGAGAAAAATGGGCAAAGAAGGGGGTGACCATCGCGCTCAAGACTTTCTACGATTTTAGTGAGATTACTCACAGAATAGTCTCGGCCCTTTTGTGTCTTGAGAAATTGGGCCCCGTTGAGAAGCCAGCCCCTACCCGGTTCAAGCTCCTCCATCTTTAAGAGTATTTGTCCTTTCCTATCAAAGATGGATTGAGCTTTCTCGAAAAAGAAATTCTCATTAGGCAGGGCGTCCTTTCCCCTGTACTCGCGGAGGAGCCGCAAATAGATTTGATGAAGCTCTCTCCACCAGTCCGCCGTTCCCTTTCTACGTAGTGGTGGGAAGCCTCTTCAGCTTCCTGTTGATCGGAAACCTACGGCATCGTCTCTTGAGCTTCCTGAGCTGCCCCCACCCCGGGCTGCTCATTTACCAAATCCCAGAGGTCAGTTTGACTTATTGCCGGGGATGATATTTCTATTCTTTCCGGAGCAGGGATTGGTGGATGCGACAGCGCCTCTTGAGAGAGTGTAGCTTGTACATCGGGCACCTGAGGAAGCGCCTCTGTAACCTCCCTTAAAAAAGGGGTTACAGCCTCATTCCAAAAAAGGTACCATAGTTTCGTTTCTTTCTACAAAGTTCTCACTGAACCTAGCTCCTACTCCTCCTCCTTCTCTTATCCTAGCTCGTCGTTGGTCCTTTTGACATAAGATTCTCAGCCGCTCAAGAGTCAAGAGACTGACTATCTCTCTCTTTATTTATACGCAATATCTTCTCCAATGATAAGTAGCAGAATGACTACTGATTTCCGCTCATCGTTCCTCTCTTGTTAGTGTACTCGTGATACAGTACTCGTGCAACAGCGCTTACGTTAGCTCGTAGCTATTGTATGCATGGTGATGTCTCGTTTCATTTCTTAAATGGAATTTATTCACTACCTATTAAGATATGCCTATGCCTGGCTCTTCAATTTCATTCTCATACCGGGCATATTTGATTCTGATTGTCTTCCCGGTGCTTCCTCGCTGCCTATAATAATCAATCCTTAGAATCCGGTCAAGACCAAGACCGGTCTTTTCGTATGATTAGATCATAGCTAGCGATCGTCCAATACGCATGTGTTAAACAGATAGACAGTCGTGTTTGTCCGATATGCATGTGTTAAGCAGATGAATCTTCTTATTGCTTAGCTACAGCATAAGAGCTTAAGCCTGTTCTTAGCAGTAATCTGAAAGCCGGGTTGATAGAATTCAGTGCCAAGGAAAAGACTTTGAGAGAAAAGGGCAACTCGACTCCTAGTTGTTCTGGATCGAAAGACCAGTAGGCTTTTCTGGCGGCCAGGCATAAATTAGTAAGTACTTTCCTCCAATATCCTTAAACCTGAAAGGCTGGGCTGACTTCATCGCCCGGTCAGTCCTCGAACCTTGATTCATCTAGTTTTCTCAGTCATAGGTTGGAAATCGGCTTTAAGCAAAAATCCTGGCCTTTCTTTATGATCCCTTCTTATGAGAATCATGAATTCCAGCTCAGCTTCATCCCCTCTGGAAAAGAAAGAACACCCCCCTTTTCCTTGACAGGAAATAGGCTTCTTCAGCCTGAAAAGCTCTTCTTATCCCACATTTAACCTACCCCGCCTGACGCCCTAATCCATTCCTTCGCGCTATTGCTATAGCTTAGGTAGGGGCTCTTCACGCTTCTTTCCCCGATACTCCAACATTTTCCTATCCACCGTCGTAGATGTTCACCTGGCTATCCAAGAAGTCCAAGGTGTATAAGTCTGCTCCTCGATAAAAGCTATCCCCCTGCAGGTCCCGTTCCCAATCTCTCGTCTGATCCTGGCACTTCAATTTCTGCAAGCTCACCTATTCCTTTCTCCGTTGTTCCCATCAATGGGTCAATCCCATGCCCCCCAACTGTGACTAGTGGTGGCTATTGAACCGAAGAAAGCGAGTAAAGAATGATCTCATCCCTTGCTCAGTCAGTAGTCGGTCCAAAGGAATTGAGTAGTTCGATTGACGTAGCCGGTTATCGAATAGACACGGAAGGAACTTCCCTAACTGCACGCGCTTGGCTCATCGCATCTCTCAACCGGGTGGAAAGCCTAGAAGCCGGGAATCAGACTGAATCCGAGACAAGAGATACATTGATGGCCTCGGAGAGATTAGCTCGGATTGAGCTGTCCCTATCAGTCGAGTGCTAATGCCCTCAGCCGGTACGGAGCCAACCCAGCTCCCGTTCCCGCGAGTGAGTTTTGCTGGTCATAAAGAAAGGAAAACAGGTAATAAGTTAACATTTCATGACTTTATGATTGATTGTTTCGGAGGCGAGAAAGAGAACAGATAAACGAATTGAAAGGGATGGGGTAGATAGGTGGCTCGGCCTATCCAACTACTTCTCGACCGGCCCAGCTGCTAGTCGCCGTGGCAAGGCTCGGCCAGTTGCTTCAATGATTTTGGACAACCCTTACCTTACAACCACCGGGGATCTACTTATCAAACGGGTAAAACGGCTAAACAAGACTTGGATTACCGTAACCATTGGTGGGGGAATCAGATTATTTCTTCACTATCTTGCGCTTACCTTTCCTTTTTCGATAGGTAGAAGGAAGACCACCCCAACCTTAATCCTAACCCAAGGGAATGAAGGTTCAGCTTGCTTAAGAAAGAGCATTCAAGGAACTTACATTGAACAATAAAGATCGGATGCCCAGCCTTGTACACCCCCTTCTCATTACAGCCCAAACTCAGGCTCGATAGACCTATTAAAGAGAGCTGCCACCCTTTGCTTTTTCTTTTCATATGGACTGAAGCCGGCCTTTTGTAGTTGACTATCAAAGTGTCCTTCAGATCCCCACACTTAGGTTATACGTCATAGATAGAAGACTCCGCTATCAGACTAGGGCTATTCTTCGCTTGAATCCCTACTTCCACAGCTTTGGTGGGTGATTCGCCCTTTCTCATTGGTGCTTTTCCTATTGGGGTACCTTTCATAGTTAATAGATTGGCTATGGGGATATCCTTATTGGGAATTAACTTCCTGGGCTCCCCCAAAAGAGACTCTTTGACTATGGTGGCTTGTTAATTAATTCGGTCTTACGAGGGAAAATTTCTACTGTTAACCAAAGCACTAATCTCTTCTAAGCCCTTCCTCGTGGGTCCTTCAAAGACCGTATTCTTAGCATCCAACGTATTGTATTTTTCGCATCTCTAAATAATATATCTTTCATGCCTTTGAAATTGGGGAATATTAAAAGAGTCTGTTTGAAAGAAGAAAGCACTACTTCTTCGAAGTAATGCCTTGCCTTAGCCTTCAGCACCCTTTTTCCCCATGTTTTGGAGATCCATACGATCTGGGGCCTTATCAATGTTCTGCTTGTACTGCTTGAGGAAGGCTAAAGCCAAGTCCTTCCACTTGCGAATGTGGGATCGATCTAACTGTATATATCACCGGGAAGCAGCTCCCGTAACCTACTGTTGATGCGACATTAATGTCTCTTGCTGGTGGAAGGACAAATGCCCAATGTCTTAGAGAAGTAGCTGTGGGGGAATAGAATAGGTTAGAATGAAGCCAAATCTTTTTGCCAGAAGGGCTTCTTTTCGACAAGAATACGGCATAGGCTGTTGAAAGCTCTCTCTGTTGGCTCTTAGCCTTTCTTACTTTCCTGCTTTACTGCTTGGAGGAAGAGAAGAAGCTGTTACATACCCGGTTGTGAAAGAAGGCAAGTCTACTGACTTGGCTCTTTGAAGGACAACTTCCCTTGTTAATGTACGAGCAGGGGACTAGAAGAAAGATGCCCACAATCCGATGCTAGAGGAACTGAACTGCCAATACGTATATCAAGATCTTAAGTATTTACAGGGACTTGTACAAGCGTGAAATCCTAATGCTCCAAAGTTCATTCTTCCACCTAATTTCTAGCCCTGGGTAGTAAAGAAAAGTGGGATACTCTATTTCTAGGATTGGGATTCGTAAATATGTTAATAGATTCTTGATCTGTATCTTCCATTTTTGGATGTGTGTCTTATGTCTATGTAACGGGGACCTCTCATGAGAAATTGGATCCTAGAGCTGTGAGATGTGGCACTGAACAAGCTCATCTCGTGATCTTAGATGGAACATTAGCCAGTCTTCTCTTCTAGGAAGAAGCGGTCCTTGCAAGAATGACTTCTTTTCAAGAAGGGGGGTTACATGTGTATGTGTAACCAAGAAGAAGTTGTTGGCTTAATAAGCGATCTATCTCGTCCTGTTGGCATATCCGGCGCCAGTTTTGTTACAGTAAGCGTGTTGGAAAGTGATCGTAGGCGGTGTTCTATTAGCAATTGAATCACTCTTAACTAATTGTATAAAGAAGTGGCTATTTCCTTGTCCGTGGAACACGCAAAGCATTGAAAGAAGAGCACAACGGGAGGGAGTGACCCAGAAGAGGCATTCCTTCTTCTCGTTGCTGAGCTTGCCGGGTCCAATCCCTGACGCTAGGGCCCAGGTTCTGTTCTGCCTTAAATTACCTGGAACCTTTCGCTCCCAGTTACGTCTTATCATATCCTTTCTTGCCTTCTTCGTAGCGATGGAATGGAAAAGAGTGGATTGAACTGATAGCTAAGGTTACAAACCTCTTTCTTCTATTGAGCCAGATGTGGAATCGATCCCAATTATTCCCTTTCCTTTGCCTATTTATGCTTTCACGCAGTTCAATACCAGCAAATTAAAGAGCACCGGACTCGACTCGTTCAATGAGCTTGCAAATCCTTTCTTATTATTTCTGGAGTGTAATTCGGGTTTAGGATTTTGTTTGCCTGCTACTTTGATTTATCAGATTTTTTGTGGTTCTAGGTAAAAGGGCTTTTGCGGCTATTCCTATTCAAAGTGGATAAAGAGTTTATAACTACCTCTTCTTATCACACTGAGAGCAAGAGCTTCCTATTCTATCCCTGAATTGAGCTGTTGTTAAAATCGAACTCACTAGATTCTAGAACATCGGTTATTATCCTAATAGCAGCTGAGGAAATGGCAAGTGCCAGGCTAAAGACAAAGAGCTGTTCGTGGTTCCTATTGTTAAATTACAACTCAAAGCGAAAGATATTCGCAGAAGCTTCAGAGGCCATACAGCAAAAGATTCCTTCAAATAGCTCATCACGAGAAGTAGTCCTTTGGGTCTAGATTCTCAGGCCTTCCTTCCCCTAACCCCAGGAAAATTAGTGAGTTGCCCCCACTTTGACTATTGAGTTTCCATCACTCGGGTCTTTGAGTTCCACTACACTAAGACAAGAGAAGTCGGGATTTTTGGCATCCTTCTTTCTTCGTGAGTTCGTATGAAATTGGTGACTAAGCTTTTTCCTTCTGCCTTTGCAGAACTACCGACGGGGTATTTCCTTCTAAATAATTTCATCCTTAAGCTGGATAGCCTTTAGGCTTAGTTAGTTAAGAGTAATCCCCCCTTGCCTTTGAGAGCAGTCCAATACCAGTTGATTCATTAGCAATGGTAGCAGGAAAAAATCCACCACGCTTTTAGCCTCCTTCTTTAAGGCTTTTTTTGCCGGGTAAGATGCTAAGAGAGGAATCACTGCTTATCCACCGGGTGTGACTGAACTACCTTCCCAGAACCCAGAGCATAGCCTTAGATTGATTCTTCTATCCTTCATGCCTGCCCTTCGCCCCTTGGCTATGAAACTAGGCTGTGATCCGCATCGAGAAAGAAATGTATTCATGCATCTCGAAAGAGAAGGATAACTCTTATAGTTTTTTTATTCAATCTCGCTTAACTGACTACGATATGACTTTGCTTCGCACCTTACTCTATCACTTAGCCTTAGTGGGCCTAGCTAATCGGCACAGAAAGGAATAGAATTTCTTTAAGCTTCACTCCGCTATCAGACTAGTTGCGAAGCATTGGGATAACTAAAGTGGAATATGCCTCAACTAGTTGCCCAGGATGAGGCCATTGCAGCAACTAGCACGGCCAAGTCACCAACCTATGGCTCCGTGGAAGCCGGCAGGGAGGAAGGATTATAATCCAACCAAAGGAATTAGCCACTCGTTCTATCAATAGGCGCCGTGGGCCTATGAGCTTTTGGGCCTATACGATTTCCTGTCCTCAACAGTTCAAAACACTTGACACTGAGAGCTTTTGTGAATATGCCGACAAGCTTATCCTTGGATGAGATAAACTTCATTTTGAACTGCTTGCGAGCAACCTTTTGACAAACAAAGTGAAAATCCATTTCTATATGCTTAGTGCAAGCATGAAAGACCGGGTTGGTTGATAGATACGTGGCACCACAAGGTTGGCACACCAAAATATAGGAGGAGAGCGAGGTATGCCAAGCTCAGATAAGATAGATTGCATCCAACATAGTTCAGCTGTAGCTATAGCAAGACTGCGGTATTCGGCTTCAGTACTTGACTTCGAAACGGTCGTTTGTTTCCTTGAGCTCCAGGAGACAAGATTAGAACCCATATGGACACTGTACCCACTAGTGCCGCGTAAGTCATCGGGACATCCAGCCCAATCAGCATCTGAATATGCACTAAGTTGATGAAGTGAATTTGGGCTTCTGTTAAGGCCAAAAGTGATAGTATGCTTGAGATATCGAATAATACGCTTGACGAAGTAGGAATTCGACGATTGGAGATATCCTTTCATCGACTTTATCCAATACGAGATACTACCAGATGACTCGAACGAAAAGGTAAGTATCCGAAGACGTGCTCCGAGGTTCCATTACGATCCTCAAACGAAAACATTGTATCGGAAATCCTACGATGGAGTGCTCCTGCGGTGTCTGTCGGACCAAGATGCGGAGAAGGTCATTCAAGAGACCCATAACGGCATTTTTGGTGCTCATCAAAGGACCTAAATTTCAAGACAGAATCCGGAGATTGGGTTACTATGGGCCCCCCATGATCAAAGATTGCATTGACTATGCCCGCCAGTTTCATGGTGACGACATCCCCCAGGCTTCAAACGACCATGATGGCATGGTTGTGATAAGTCAATGGAACTTTTGAGGGAACTTTGGAGTGGAATTCCGAGCTAAAGCGACTTTGTGGTCCCCCGTTGTTACAAAAGTCAGATGGTTAATCTTGCCAGTAACGGCAAAGTTCAGATTGAGCTTATGGTGACAGATGGGCGAGAGTGCTACTGTTACAAATGCAGTTGGAACTGCACTGCAATTCTTGGCTGGTTACGCTGAAGTAAGAGGTGGGGGGTGTGCTACCGTCACGAGTAAAACAAGAGCAAATTTTTATTTGGCTATTGGGTTTTTGGCATTACAATGTGCAAAGGATTGTTCCAAATGTAGTTGACAGTTTCAGTGTCTTTGCAAAGTGAGCTGCGATCGTTCGGAAAACGAGTCGGCGCATGGTCTTGAATGACCCATAGGCTTTGGGCTTCGATGGCTGCTTGAAAGACACAGATTGGGAAGTTGGCTATGGTCCGTCGTGCATTGTGCAGACGACTGATAGCTTACGTTGCCAAGAGGGCATTGTGAGACAAAGGAAAGGCCCAATTCCCTCTGCAGACTAAGGTTGATCCAAAAGAGAACTTGGCCCAGTCTCAACATGAACCTCACCCCATTAACCTGCTTTCTGAATCTTGCACTAAGAAGAGGAGAGCGGTGGAGGAAGGTTGAACAAAGAGTAAGAAAGAACTCGGTGCGAGTTGATGGTATTGAAGTAACTGAGATTCTAGCTGGATTGAAGCGTAAAACGGAAGAAAGTCAGGGATAAAAACCTCATTCTCCTAGTTCGGATTCAAGGAAGCGTCCTAATCATGTTTCCATCTCTAACTCTGCTTCAATGGCTAGACTGGAATCCAGTACCTATGTCTCCATGAATTGCCTTATATGGAACAACTGCCGAGGGCTTGGGAACCAAAGGGCAGTTAGAGCGCTTAAAAGCATTATCAAAAGTGAAAATTCCCATGGTCTTTCATGGCAAAGGATTTCTAAAGTGTTTGAATAAATTTATGGAACGTAGAAGAATCACTACCTATCAAAATAATATCATCTACATATAAAAAGTAAAATGAGAATATCCGAGGAAGTGATCCTAACAAAGATGGAAGTGTCAGCTCTACTCTTGCTCAAGGTTTTCACAAGAAGAAATTGGTACGAGGATTTAGTTATCCTCTTGTGAATTAATGGCATTCCC